AATAAAATATTTTCAGTATTCAGAACAACTGAGTCAATTCGGACACAAATTTTTCAGTGGCTGCCTGTTTCTCTCCGGGAGAAGCACATTCTGGTTTACCTGCCTCTGATCGACCCCATCCGGGTATTTATACCCTGAGACCCGAGATGATGACAATATGCGTTTTCGAAAAATTTTTAATTTTTGCCCTCTCATCGACAGGACACGAGAGAGAAAAGAGTGTGAAGTGATTGTGTGGAAAAAAAGTCCTGGGATATTTTTTCTCCTTGAAAAAGAGGACGCAATCCTCCTTCTTTTATTCTAAAGACACTGGAAGATGGGCTTGTGCAATTTTGTGAAGAAAGTGCAAAATGTGGCTGAGTTTGCCCTCCCAACCACCTCTTTTGTTTCTGGTCTGGCATTGAGACTGCAGGTGCTGAATTTGGCACACTTGATGCAAGCAGTGCATGATGGACTGGTTTAGATCCCACCTTTTTTGTTGTTGTTGTTGTTGAATGCAGAAAGAAAATAAGGGAGCAAGTTGTGATTTGATGTTGTCACTTTTTGCCAAAACCTTGAAGTTTTAAGATCATTAATTTGTCCATTTTTGATATGTGAAAAGAAAAGAACAGGAGGAATTTATTTTTAATGACATGCTTTTTCTGGTCTTGCCTCTTTTTTTTTTCATTTGGACATCATTGCTTGAAATTCTGTTTGTGAAGATGATTGAGAAAAAGGATTTTATTTTTTGTAAGTTTTGAAGTTGGTTTTGAGAAACATGGCTACCAGTTTTTTTTTTCAAGTTGAGAAATGAGTGTTTCAAATTATTTATTGTGCATCTGAAGCAAACAACTTGTGTGATTCAAAATGCAAGTCAATCCCTGGCTAATTCTCTATACCCAATGCCAATTAACCATTCAAACCTCAATTGAGTGCTAACCTTCCCTGCGAATCTTCAAAATTATTTTGTGCATCAAAAAAAAATTTTTTTTCCTTTCAGAAAAAAAAATCATAGTTTGAAACTTTGAATACGGTATTCACTTGGGTATGACATGCATCTTCTTCCTCTAATTCAAGAGGAAAAATGGAATTTGCATGTTATGAGTGGGTGTACATTTTTTTCAAGTTTTAGAGGGTTAGTGTGCATTACACTTGATTTTAGGTAAATTTTGCACCAATTTTAACAGGATAACATAATATTATCAAAAAAATTGTAAACTTGGTTGAATTTGAGTATAGTTCTTGTCTAAATGAAAATGTGGGTGTTCTTATTTTTAAAATTCATATTTTCAGTTTTAAAGTCACTGAAATGGGTTGTGTGTCTTACTTATGGGGATAAAATTTTATTTAAAAAATTTTTGACTGGAAAACCTTGTTGTGCATGTCTTGAGGACACATGGTACTCAAGGATATACATTATTGAAGTTTTAATTTCACTTCTGAAGAAAAATGGTTTTTTTTCTCCTTCAAATGAAAAGTGAAATGCTTGTACTGTCCTGCCGCTTTAAATGAAAGATTTCAAAGAAAATTTTGCAGCTAATTTACTGTACTTTTTAGCACCTATTTTACAGGAATTTTTAATGGCTTTTTCCAGTAATTTCTTACAGCTATTTTACAGTAATTTTTACAGCTGTTTTACAGTAATTTTTACAGATATTTCACAGTAATTTTTGCACCTATTGTACAATAATTTTTACAGTTCTTTTACAGTAATTTTTGCACCTATTGTACAATAACTTTTACACTTCTTTTACAGTAATGTTTACAGCTACAATATTTTACAGTAATTTTAGAGTGCCTTTTATACCTATTATACAGTAATTTTAACAGCTACAGTATTTTGCAGGGATTTTTACAGCTGTTTTAGGGTAATTTCTAAACCTATTCTACTGTAATTTATACTGCTACTTTATAGTAATTTTTGTAGCTACAGTATTTTTGAGGAATTTTCACACCTATTTTACAGTAACTTTTTACAGCTACAGTATTTTAAAATAATTTTTTGCAAATATTTTCAGCAGGCGCCCTTTCCGCCACCGTGGAGGCCGGCGGCGCCGTCGGTGCCTGGCTCCTGGGCAACACGGGCGACTCTGCTCTCCGCACCTGCTCACTCTGCTCTTTGGCTGCAGGAGGCGCCATTTCCTTGCTGGCTGCTGCAGCTGCAGGAGCAGCACCCGGAGGAGATCCACTGGTGGTGGCGGTCTTGGTGGCGGCGTTTGGCCTGTTGAATTCCGGCGTGGACGCTGTGCTGAGTGGCGCCGTGGCGGCTGACGTGGGCGCTGTTGGGTTCGTGAACGGTGTGGGGTTCTTGGGAGCCGTGGCCGAGGCGCCGGTGATGGCTTTAGTCATGTCTGTGTGGGAATGGAATGGGTTTTTTGCGTGTGTGGCCGGGGCGGCTGTGATGGCGGCGGTCGCCCTCTGGCGGGCGCATGTGGTCGTGTCTTCCGAGGCGGCTGCTGCTGTGATGAGAGCTTCGCATAAATAATGGCCTTCAAGTGCATATATATAATTCACATTATATAATATTATACATATTTTTTTGTGTGGATTCTTCTCGAAAGAAATTTCAGCTTTCAGTTGTTGTGTGTATGTTTTTTTTTTTATTCTTCCTATTTTGTGGTTTTTGAGATATTCAACAGGAACCTGAAATTTAAATACTGAAAATTTTCTCCCACTGCTGTAAAAAAATAATAATAATGATGAAACCTTTTGGGTTGGTTCATGAATTTTTTACAGTGATTTTTTGTAATGATGAAGGCAAGAAGTTGAATTAATAAAATTTGAAGAAAATTATTTTGTAAATTAAGTAAAGCCTTCCATTTTTTAAGCAAATTATTGATATTTTGAGGACTTGAACTCCTACTGGGGCATGAATGAAACTCTTGTTTCAATACTTGCTGGAGCAAATTTGTGAACCAACCCTTGCATTTATGAATTATTTTTATATCTTGATGTGAGTAATTTCTTCTTTTTTTTTGAGAGCTTTCAGTTGAATTTTTAGCCCAAGATTTTTTGTCATATAAAGGAACAATTTACTGATTTATTTGGTGATGGCATAATGAAGTACTGTACTGTATTTACTTGAGTACCACATGCACTTTTTTTATCATGAGGAGAAATGAGCTTGTTTCAATTATTGAAAATTATTTACATTTTAGAAGTTTAGCTGATATTTGGTTCTAATGGACAATTTTAAACCCATTTTAACAAACAATTTTAAAATTGGAAATTAAGAATAATTATTTGGATTCCAGTGCTTTTTTTGAGTCAAAATTCAAATTAGGTTTTCTTTTTGAAGTATTTAAATTTTTCAGTAACTAAAAATGGGGTGTGTGTTTCAGGGATAGGATTTTATCCAATTTTAGGCTGGAAAATGTGCATCTTATTCCAGGGCCTGTGGTACTCAAGTAAATACAGTACTGAATTACATTTTAAAGAAAATGCTCACAATTTTGTCTGTGAATGTGCCTTCCATTCTTCCAACTCCGAGGAAGACAGTGTGACATTCATAGCCCATGGTATTGAAAACAAGGCATATTAGAAAAATGAAATGAGAAATGAAGGGGTTATATTGAAGAATTTCTGGATGGAAATGTTCCCCTTCATGTTGTGGGGTATTCAAGAAAGACTCAAAGAAAAATCTGTTCATGGAGCTCCAGCTGGAAATGTGTTGGTATTATCAGAAACATTTAAGCTACTGACGCAATAGAAAACTAGTCAGCCAAAAAAGACATGTTTGAAGCATGCTGCTCATAAGGAAAGGCTTCATTTGATAACTTTTGAATCAAATTTTTTTTGTGCATTTTCAGCTCATTTTTTCTGTGCGCTTTTTTTTTTGAAGAAAAAGAAAACATTTTTGTGGTTTTATAGAAATTGATTTTTCTGACTCATGGTTGCAGTAAAGGCTTTGTCCATGAAGTTTCACATATTCATTTTTAAAAGTTTTGAATTTGAAAGTCCTTTTAGTGCCTTGTATGAAATTGGTTCTGGCTTTTTTCTTATCCCTTGTTGTCTGGTGCATGAGTGAGATGGAAAACATCAATTTAGGGTCTGAGGGTCCAGAAAATTTAGAGTTTTTTGCCAGGATTGATCCTGATCCTGGACAGCAAATAGTGGCTTTGTTCAAGCTGGTGAGTTATCCATTTGCTTTTTGATTACTGAAATTGATTCAATTCAGTACTGCTAACATTTATTTATTCATTCATTTTTTTTTTCAGACTGACTGGACTGAGCCATGGCTGGTGGCATTGATATCATTCCATTTGTTGCTGATGGCCCTAAACTTGAAGTTCAGAAACTGTGGGTCATTCCAGTTGTTTCTGTTTATTGCCTTGTGTGAGTATAATGATGTAGAAGGTATTCTTTCCTGAAATCTTTAATCTTGGAACTACAGGAAAATCTTCTGGCAAATTCATAGTTCTTGTTCATCAGGAGAAATTCTTTGAAGCCCAAGCATTGTTGGTCAAGTCTTCAAGTCACAAATCATATGTTCAGCCAAAAGTGTTTGTTGGTTGATTTTAAGGCTTTCTTGTGACAAGATTTTACTGTATTGGGAATGATCTGCAAGTGTTGTCAGTACCTTCAAATAGAGTTGCAGTATTTGGATGTAAAATTTCATGAATTTCCTTTACAATGTTTGGGCTAGTTGCATGATTTGTGTTCATTTGCTCATGTATTATTGTTGCCATTCAAGTCTGGACTTGGCCTATACTGTTTGCTCACTAATTAACATTCTAATATTGAACATTTACCACAGAAAAATGTGCAAGTTCAGAACATTATTTCCATGGATCATGTGGATGTGATATATGTTATATGTTTGGTGGAATTAAAGTAGAATATGGTTTCAACTCCTGAAAATGCAAGTGTTGAATGTGAAGTTCACTGAATTCTATATCTGAGTACAAATCATTGCAGCAATTAGAAAATCATTGCATGTATATTTCCTTGCTAATTATTTTCCATTACATAGAACACAGGACTGACACAAAAATTTTGTGCTAATTTTCACAAGTGATTCTGTAGCAGTGCTCCAACATTTTTGAGCATTCACTAATGAGCAAGACTGAACCTTGAAATGTTCTCTTCCAATGAGTGATTATTTACTAATTGATGTATTTTTATGTTTCAGTGTTGTCTGTGTACTTTTCTGAGAGCATCAACCAGTTGGCGGCAGAGAACTGGAGAGCATTTGCAAGGAAGCAGTATTTTGACAGTTCTGGTCTCTTCATATCCGTGGTCTTCTCTACACCTTCCTTGTTCAACTGCATGATCATTGTTGTAAGAGATGCAGGAATAATTCAGTCGAACCTCTCTAACTCAATTATATACAGTCTAATTTTTTTAAAGTCTCTGTCTGAATCCCTTTGGAAACAATGCATTAAGAACCTCCCTCACTTCAGGCTTTCTGTTGCAAACCTGCAAAACTCAAATTTTCTGGATGCCTTTTAGCCATCATTTTATTAGCACTGGAAAGAAAAAAACAATGATAAAGTTAACTTGATGGGTATTGAAGGGAAGGCAAATTGGGCAAATGAACCATTATGTCCAAGTTTGGCACCCTGTCAACTCATTTAAGAAGCACTTTAAAGCCCAGAATATCATCAATTGCAATGTCCTGTCATTTTTATTTCCTTCCCTCCAACAAAAATGCTTGTTTCCCCAAATTACAGTGAGACCCTGAGATGTGGACACAATTGGTGCATCAAGAGAGTCTTTAAGTCAAGTCTCATTTTCCTGTAGACTTGCATTATATAATTTTTAATTGGTGCTTTATGGACAAATTACTCACCATATTTCTTTGAAAATAAAAATCATCTCCCAATATAAACTGATTCCAATCAATATATTTCAACATAATATGGGCATTTGGGGAATTGAATGCTGATATCTCTGTATAAAAAATAGAAATGTTGGTATTCTCTGTAAAAATAACATTCAAGAGAAAAAGAGAGAAGGAAGTCCCTCTATGCTGGAGATAATTTTCTTAATTACCTGAATGGATGATAAATTGGCAAGAGAAATGCCCATGAACTTATGTTACATCAATTTTAGGGTTGGAAATATCTGTTTCTTGTAATTTGGCCTAAAACTTATCAGCAATTTCATCACAAAATGTCCCCATGTTGGGCAATTTTTATTAATTTACTATGGGAAAATAAGTGTCCTTATGTTGAATTGTCTGCATGTGGGGGTCTCACTGTAAAGTATCTTGCTGGTCCTTTGGAATTTGACTTGAGAGGTTTGACTGTGTACTTACTGGTAAGAATCTAACAAATTGTTTGTTTGTTGCTGCAGGGCAATTGGCTGTATCAATCATCCCTGTTGATGATTCAAGTGAAACAAGCCCAATTGTTGCAGCTGGAAGAGGAGAGTTTCCGGAAGGAAGCTGAAAGGGAGGAGAAACCTGTTGTTGTGAAACCCAGGCGCTCTGTCCGGGTCGTGAAACGAGCTTCTGTTGGCCATTGACGCGATTTTTGACAATAATGAAAGCTTGCACTTTTTGTTTTTGTTCGTGAGTAGTAGAAGATTTGGAAGGCATTGCTTTTCGTGTTGTTACTGGGGGCATCAGTGACTGGCCAGTTGCAATTGTGGGGTTCCGACGTGTCCTTGTTTTTCCCTTGGCCGTATTGCGCAAGCTTTGTGTCCATACTTTTTTTTGGGGAGAGAATAATGAATTTGTTTTGTGATCCCTTGAGACATGGAAGACTGCATTATTCATGCAAAAAAAGCCCAAGTCACGAGACAAAGATGCCCAAAGTTTGATCCCGACAGATTTTCATGGTGGACCCTTTTATTCTTGATGAAGTGAATCACGTGCTTATTGCGCAGTGTTTGTTTGCAAATCTATATCAAATGCTCTAGTTTTTACAAATACAGTATGATGTAGTCAATCATAAATTTGTTGTACATGTATTAAAATGTGTACTCTAGAGACTAGACTCACTAGAGCATTTACTTGATTTATAATATTCCTTTCAGAAATTATCATCTACATCTTCACACAAGCTCATATGGTACTCAAGTAAAATCTAGCCAACAGGTGGATAACTCTCTAGACAACAAAGTTCTCTTTATAACAGCTTTTTTGTTTAGTACAGTTTTTCTGTTGGGAGTGTTCTCTACCAATTTTGTGTGATTAATATCATTCTCCAAATATTTCAATTTTTCAGTCACTAAAAGTAGGGTGGGCATCTTATCCCAAGGACAATTTGTAATCCAACCTTCAGGCTGAGAAATCCTCATGTTTGTCTGCCTCAAGGACACATGGTAATACAGTTGATATGGTATTTGTTTGCTTCAGTCGAACCTTGATAAATCAAATACCTCCCTAGCTCAAATTTTTTAAAAATCCCTGTCTGGATTCCTTTAGAAACAATGCATTAAAGCCTCACTAACTCAAAGTCTTTTTCTCTGAAACCTCTGTAAGTCAAATTTTCTGAGGCCTTTTGCTTATTATTCCCTTGAAATATGAAAGAGAAAATCAATTGAACAGATGGTTTTAAGCATCTTGAAATGAAGTGAAGGACTAATTGAACAAATGAACTCCTGCCTCCAAGTTCAGCAAGCTGTGAACTCATTCAGAAGCAATTTTAGGCCTAGAATATCCTCATTTTAATTTTTCTTGCAGCAATGTTCATTTCCTCAAATCAAAACCTCTATAAACAAATTTTTTCCTGGTCCCTAGAAATTCAACTTAGAGAGGTTCAACTGTATAAGATACTGAAACCTTCTTGGAACCACTTGGGAAATGGTACATTTCATTAAATAAATGTTGACACAATTTGAAAAATCCAAGCTTGCCATTCCAATCAGGAAAAACTTTAATTTGAAAGGAGATTCCACAACCAAATCAGATCCTCCTGCACAAAATGACACCATTTTTCATCTTCTCACAGAGCTTGACTAGAACACTAAAAGACTCAGACAAAATAAGACAGACCAGGGAATAAATGAATAGATAAACGCACATTGGCCCCCACTTTTCATCTTGCAAAAAAAAAAGGGAGGGTTGCTTGAAGATGATTGACTCAGTCTCGGTTGTTGGTCTCAGTGAAAGACGTTTCTGCGATGATCTCAGTGGTACCAGGTGGGAGCTGGGTGTGACCCATGGTACCTGGAAGCACCGGCGATGGTGGAGCTGAATACCGAGCGTGTTTCGGCGTTGGTGGCGCCTTGGCCTCCGCATCATTCAGAAATGCTTGCCAAACGGAGATGATGAGTGTGATCAAGTACATGGCTGTTGCTATCCAGCAGTTTTGCGCCACTCCAGTGTAAATCTTGTCTGCAGCACTGTAATATCAAGGTACACAATACAGACACCAGAGTTCAGTACAGTGAGTCTCACTTCAACAACAAAAGACCCACTTTTCCAATATCATATACAGTATTAGCACACACAAATTTTGACTTGGAAAATTTCTGGAATAAATTGCTGAATTTATCTGTTTTTATTCAAATTTCAGAACTTCATGCACAAATCAATGACAACATTTCAAAAGAGAAGTAATAAACATTTCTCCTTTCATCCCCAAGCAATTAATGCTTTTTTCAAGATGTCTGAAAGCTTCAAATCCTCAGATTTTGAATTTGATTCTGATACATCTTTTCAACTATCACTAAGAAATTGCTGGAATAAATAAACAGGCATTTGAAAGTCCATCTAGGTTCTTTTGCAAGTATCCAATCAAATTGATGTACAGTTGAACCTCTGTGAGTCAAATTTTCTGAGGCCTTTTGGTTACTATTTCTTTGAAATGTGAAAGGGAAAATCAATGAAAAAATTATTTTATGCATATTGAAAGGAAGTGAAAGACTAATTAGGCAAATGAACCCCTTTTTCCAAGTTCAGCAAGCTGTAAACTCATTAAGAAGCAATTTTAGACCCAGAATATCCTAATTTACACGCTATTTTTCCTTGCAGCAAATTTTTTGTTTCCTTAACTCAAAACCTCTCCAAGTTGAATTTTCTTCCTGGTCCCTAAAAATTTGTCTTAGACAGGTTCAACATTATTTGAATATTTTTCCAAAGGAAATTATGCTTGGCACAACAAGGACACAATAAAACTATTAAATCCTTCTTTCATTCTTTAAAATCAAGAATGGTTATACAAATGTCCCATCCTCCAAAAGGACAAACTTAAAATATTGAATCATTGGTTCTTTAATTTATCATTAAAAAAAACTATCTTCTCTCAATTTGAGTTTAAAAATTATGTATTATAGAAAGAGAAACAGACTCAAAAAGTCCCTGGACTCCATGTTCAGCATGATGATGAAGAGGCATGTCCTCAATGAAGGTCAAAGAGTGGATGTAGAACAGGGCTCCCATGATCCCCATCTGGATAATGCCCCACACACTGACCACCAGGCAACATTTTGACAACAGAGGCCCACAAAACTTCATCTTTTTTGCCCTTTCACGCTTGTTTCTTTTTACCTGGATTTAAAAAGAAAAAAAAAGAAAGAAATTTCACAAGGGCAAAAATGATTAAATCACTCACACACACAGTATAGAAAAATGTTGTCAACAGGCTTGGATCTCTGTCACTCATCACACTGCACTCTTCATCGTCACTTGATTGAAACAGGGCACTTTTTCAACACATTTCCAAATGATATTCTTGAAAAATAAGCGTCACTTCAGGAAAATCTCACTTCACTTATAATATTCTTCCCCAGCACACATGAAATCACCCAGTTACCTCAACTCAATCTATACAATGCACCACCACACATAACTTCACATGACCTGATATGCTCGAACTTGACACCATCCACAAAACAAATTGAAACAAATTCGCGAAATCGTTCCAGCGAACGAAAACCTAAAAATCGATTCCACGACAAAAAAAATTTGAAACGAATGCAGAATGATTCGAAATACGAACAAGAGAGATCCAATCCAGTCTAAAATACAGTTCCGTAATACACACACACACAAAATAAATAAATAAAACCTCCAATAGAACAAAATAAAAAAACACTCAATCGAAGTCGTATCGTCCTTTCCGACTCCGCAACCGCCGTCCGAATAAAACTCCAGCAAATCTCCAGCCTGCCCAAGAAAGAAAGAGATGCACAAAAAGTTTTAAAAAAGAAAGAAATTTCCTGCCACGAGAATAAATGTTGGTAAGTCACATGATGATGAACTCGTGTCACAAGAATCCATGGAGAAAGAAGGACACACGAGCATCACGCTGAGTCTAACACAGCAGCTCCCTCACTACTTGTGTATAATATAAATGACATGCAAAGTACATACGCAAAGCAGGGCCACATCCTCGCGGGAACAAGGTATTATGCATTCAAATACAATCGCTCATTTGTTTCTTTCTTTTCACTTCTATGCATCTTTTCTGTCTCAGATTCACTCTGATGCAAGCGTGTCTCACTGAATTTAAATTTAAAAAGATTGATGTAATTCAACAAACATTTATTTAAATTAACAAAGATTGATGTAATTCAACAAACATTTATTTAAATTAACAAACATTTATTTAAATTAACAAAGATTGATTTAAATTAACAAACATTTACTTAAATTAACAAAGATTGATTTAATTCAACAAACATTTATTTAAATTAACAAAGATTGATTTAATTCAACAAACATTTATTTAAATTAACAAAGATTTATTCAAATTAACAAAGATTTATTTAAATTAACAAAGATTTATTCAAATTAACAAAGATTTATTTAAATTAACAAAGATTTATTCAAATTAACAAAGATTTATTTAAATTAACAAAGATTTATTTAAATTAACAAAGATTGATTTAAATTAACAAAAATTTCCAAGTGGTGTAATTTCTACAGTATAAATACATTAGCAGATACATATCACCAGAGCACGTTCTTTTCTTATGCCCAGCATCCCACAGCCACAGAAACGAGCTCCAAAAAGATTTGGAATTCTTGAAATTCAATGAAAAGACTCTTTCCAAAACCTTAAAAGGGTCCAAGATAATCTGTTAACCTTATATGATTTCTCATCAAAGATTCTCTCCAAATTGTTTGATCAACTGGAACCTTATCTGGGTGCAGGTTGAACACCTTGTGCTTCAATTTGGGTTTAGCTTTATGCTGCATTTCTCATTATTGATATTTTGTTTTTGTGATCAGGGAAAGGGAAGAAAGTGTACATATTTATTTATGTTGTGCAGTTGCACTTTTTGGGATGAATTTTCTTTTTAAATCCATGTGAAGCTTGTTTCTTTGTTCTATATTCTAATGTGAAGAATGAGTTTGGATGAATGTGGGTGGGAAAGGGAGGGGGTTTGGATGTGGGAACATTGCTTGAACCTTGTGAATGCTGAAAAGTGGGAAATGAAGCTTGCTGTTCAATTCAAAACAAAGATAAATTCACAAGGTGAAAATAGAAGAGAGCATAGTAATTAAGATACATTCTGCTCATTAGTACTGTTCTGATGGTAAATGATTTACCAGTACAGAATTAGCATTTTATTCTCTTTTGCACTGTGGAGAAAAAATCTTGTTGCAACAAAAATATTGGGACCAAAAAAAATTAGAAATTGCTAAAAAAGACAAGGGGTCTAACAAAAGTTCTTGAGTTAAACATTGAAATGACACATGATTGAGAAATTCTTCGGCAGAAGAAAAAAATTCAGGCCGGTTTGCATTTTTTTTTGCAAAGGTCACCCTGGCAGCTTTCTGCTCTTCGTCCAAAAAAATGAGGTGCCCATTATGCAGATTTTTTTTTTGCAGCCCAGCTTCTCCTTTAGAAATTCTTGAAATCAACAAGCTATTAATTCAAAGGATTGTTTCCAGGTCTCCACTGGCAATTCAGTAATCAAGGGATTAAATAATCAATTAATGGCAGCAAACCTCAGAATTAACTCCATTTCAAGTTCAAAAATTCTAAAAGAGAAAGTTGAATTCATGTTTAAATTCAAAATTTTTCTCATTTTGAAAATATCGCGATTTCCAGTCCCTAAAAATTGGGTTCACATCTTCCTTGGGTTTGGACTAATATTTTGATGAAATCCTCTCCTCAAGTAAGACAAGCACCCCATTTCCAAAGACTCAAAATTACAATACATGTGAACTTTCTCCCTCTAAAAAAATGTCAAGGACTAGAAAAAAACCATTGTAGAGCAAATTTAAATGCAAAGATCCCTTTAAAATGGGGGGAGAGAATCCTATGGGACTGGAAACAAAATTACTCACACAGACAACACTTAATTGTAGACAAAAGATCTTCATGGATAGAGTCCACCTACATTTTAAAAATAAAAACACCAAAATTTGAATTTATAGATATGAATTGGACAAGAATCCAAATACTTTTCAATTGTTTCTATTGAAATAAGTTTTTCTGTCAGACTTGGTCAACATTTTCCCATCAGAATCAAGTAAAATTCACAGCTAAACTTCTGAAACTTTCTTTTTAAATATACCCAATATCCCCCCTTTTCAGTCTCAATTTTCAGAAGAAAAAAAAACGTTCGCGTGGTACTCAATTAAATATGGGACTTTCCACAAAAATAATAACACGCCGGACACAAGCACCGAGTATTTCATAAATTATAAACAAATATCACGCATCGCTCACCATACACACAAGAGCACCAATAAGAGTGATAAAATAACTAATATGAAATAATTGACTAAAAAATTAAAGCCCCGCATTTTTTTTTCTTCTTCTTCGTGTCGTTCGTCATCTTATTCAAAAGATGCCCAGCTTCCGCTTGACACTTTCCAGGTCGAAATTCCCGGGCCCTCTGCGGTAGGCACTAGGCCCGGACACGGGCCTCAACCTCTGCGCCACAGACTCGTCCACGGGCACGTGGACGCCGGAATCGAAATCGTGGGCCAGGTTCAAACACTTGACCTTGGCCTTGTCCCGCACAGCCACTTCGTCACTCAACACCTTGTACCACAAAGAATCCCCGCACTTTTTCACTTCTTGCGTCTTGTTCCGTTTGAGCAACACGGGCTTGGTGTTGCGGCGCACGAAGGGGTCGTTGTTCTCCAGAAGAGGGTCCTGCATGATAAGATGATGATTAATTGATTATTGGGGGGGGGGGGGTAGGAAGAAATTGGTTATTTACTGCAGTAACGAAAAATATACAGTAAACGAGTTCTTTAATAAAACGAGTGTTCTAGGATCCTAGCAGATAATTATTTGCAGCAATCATAAAAAATTTCCATAAGTCGATTCTCATTTTCCCTTAGACTTGCATATATAATTTTTAATTGATGTTTTAGGCACAAAATATTCAACTTGATTCCATGAAAATAAAAATTGTCTCTCAATTGAAACTGATTCAATCAATATATCTCAACACAATATGGACATTTGGGGAATTGAATACTGATACCTCTGTACAGTACATAGAAATNAATAAAAATTGTCTCTCAATTGAAACTGATTCAATCAATATATCTCAACACAATATGGACATTTGGGGAATTGAATACTGATACCTCTGTACAGTACATAGAAATGTTGGCATTCTCTGTGTAAAAATAACATTCAAGTGAAAAAGAAAGAAGGACGTCAGTCTATGCTGGAGGTAATTTTTTTTTAATTAGCCAAATGGATGGTGAATTGGTGAGAGAAATGCCCAAGAACTTTTCTTAAATCAATTTTAGGGTTGGAAATCTTGTAATTTGGCTTCAAACTTATTTGCAATTTCATCACAAAATGTCCCCATGTTGAGTCAGTGTCCTCATGTTGGGCCTTTTTTATTTATTTTTTATGGGAATATCAATGTCCCCATGCCTAATTGTCTGAATGTCAAGGTGTCTGCATGTGGGGGGTCTCACTGTACAGTATATTAAACATTAATAAAGACAGTGAAATCTCGTTACAACCATTTTTTAAAGTCCTGAGAGAAATCTCCTGTGGGGAACATGTGTAAATAATCTCGTCATCAAAATAAACTTTCCACCCTCCTTGAAGCATTGCTTCTGCTTCGAAAAAAATATAGTTCACAAAAAGTTATTTTTTCCATCGTCTAATGTTTTTTTCCTTGATTGATAGATGAATAAGTTTCATTTTCCGCTTATGTCGTTCAAAGTTTGGCCCATCAATAACGAGACTGAGAAATATTGAATGGCATAACATTTTTAAATTTTTTTCCATTTTTGGTGCTTATTACACTTGATTCCAGCACGGAATTCTCTACCAATTACAGCAGAAAATTAATGTGTAGAAAGTATAAAAAATTGACCATTAATTTGACTATAATTCAAGGAAAAGTAAATTCGGACGCATTTTACACTCAAAATATTTAAATTTCCAGCGCACAACAATGTGATCCATGCCTTAACTCAATGGTACAATCTCATTAAAATTGCAAGCTAAAACATTCGGGAGCGTGTCTTACACAAGTAAATACAATTCAAACGCCAAACTTCTCAACGAAAAAGTGTTCCGAACATTTACGTGAGATGCCACAATAGTATCGAAAACCATCATGAATGCACTTCCTTACGGGACGACGAGAGTGCAAAGCTTCGAGTCGCTGCAAATGCTCAATTCGTTCCTTGTAAAAGTGAAAAGCCCCGAGGTCACCTTCGGAATGAGCAGCTTGCCTGAGAAGGATCAACCGACTCTTCTCTTCCGCCGGATGATGCAACTTGACGGTGAATCGCTCGCGAATCTCCGCCATTTCACGGGCATCGAAGTACGACAACTCCGTGCACATCGCACTGCAAAAAAAAAAGAAGTTTTAAAATAGCAATCACTCAAATTACATAGAGTGAAGATCTTCCCCCATCCCACGACCAAGCAAATTAAAAAAAAAAAATCCCGTCAATTCTCAGACACTTCCCGAAACAACGTGGGACAAAAAAGGGGGTTTATACTCACTTCTTATACGAATTTCGTCGCTTCTCGAATTCCGCGTCACTCGGCACGACTTCATCACTCTCCACTTCACGTCCATACCACACACGAACTTCTTCCAGACTGAGTTCCCCGTCCGACACCTTGTCCAAGGTGTAGATGGCTCTCGAGCTTCCGTTGCGAACTATAAGTGCCAAGTTTGTTCTCGAGAAGCCGAATTTGTAGACTGTGGACGTTTCGATGCATCGTTCGATCTCACTGACGACGAAATTCTCGGGGGAAACGCAGACACGGACGAAATTCAGGCGCAGAATGTTGTTCAGCTTGGGATAATGGCACCACTTTTCCAGGAAACCCCGAGAAATCAGCAAGGAACTCAACTTTTCGCGAAAAAATTCGTTCTGGGCGAGAGAAAGCTCGATCTTCGGCTTTTGCGCATCACCTTCGTGAAAATGGCATAAGAAAATTAATCGTGCTAGTATCATCATGCACACATACACGATCAATCAGTCAATAGAAAAGCACCCAAAATCCATTCTTCGGGACCAAATGTTCGCCAATGATTCAACCTTACACATCCAATATGATATAAAAAAGACTAAACGGTAGTCGCAAAAACATACAGAGGAATTTACCAAGCTTAATATGCATATACATCGCAGTAAAAAATGTACCAGGAAAAATCATTCACATCAAAAATTAACTGCGAATTCCTGGTGAATCAAGGGTTCGTTTCATTCAACTTCACAAATGAAACTATTTCCGAAAGAGAGGCTTATATATATATAATAAGTTCCGATAAGACGGATCACATCAAAACTATCGGTCCTCGAGGAATTTCGTCTCGATGCTTTCCTCCTGTCACAACACAATCAACTTGGCTTACATTCGACAGTAGATGACTTTTTCGCAGTAGCTGCTGATGGTCTCTTATTCGGACGAGCCTTCTTCGTACCCTCATCACTCGAACTCGAAGATGGAGACGAATATTCGAATTCCGAATCAGAATCACTTTCCGATGGCGAGGAAGAAGAAGGTGGATTCGCCGTAATGCCATCTTTACCTTCAGCGCGCAACGAACTTCCTGTAGTAAAAGGGAGTAAAAGCTTGCGTTCTAAGTTAGAGGAACAAGAGGGCATGGATTCAAAGGTAAAACTCGGCCCGCCAGTAGCAGTCAAAATCGCACGAGGTGATCTGGCAGGTTCACTGGCGTTTCCGGAACCAGAAGGAACCATGATGCTCTCGTGATCAGGCTAATATGGGAATGAAAGAAGGCTGCACTTTGATTAAAGAACCAGCTTGACGAGATGCACGAATGGTTCAGCTTCGAAACCGGAAGAAAAAGTAAAAACGCATGGATATGAACATAGAGATGTTATCAAAATCAAAGGTTTACAACGGGCAACCTTGATAAATTACGAAGAGGTTACCGGCAGAAATATATACAGAAAATACTTTACGAACGACGAGAACGACCCAAAAGACGTGGGTCTAGTGTACTTTAGAAAAATGGACGCGCGCATGAACACGCACAGTGCGTTTAACTGGCATCGCTAAAGTACACTAGACCCAAAGACGTTACTCTCGGTAATCAAACATAAACAAGATCACGCGACCAATTAGGAGACTGACAAAATTAAAATACGAATAACACGAGTAAAATAAATATAATCGCATTATTCGCATAGGTCCTAATAGTATCTTCTGTTCGCACTTCAAGTACACTCAGAACGAACATGCGATCGTAGCGCGGGTGTCTGGCATTATGAGCAGCGCCATGTTGAACACTTATTTGTAACATGTACATTACATGGGAAATCGAAAGTTCAAACTAATCATGACTTCTGAATGAAATTCAAATCAGGAAATATCACGCAAACCGTTTCAAGGAAAATGCAAAATTACAATTTTCATTTGCTTTTTATGCATTTTAAATGCCAAAATCCCATAATCATCAGCACACAGCAATGCAGATAAGGATTAGCCACGATTGACCTTCGTATAGAGCGCAGAAGATTTAACAAAGAGCCGGCAGTAAACTTGGTGGATTTTAACTCATCCTTCCCTGTCAGAGTAGCCAAAAATGTTTGACAGAAAATCATTCCTCAGCTCTTGCATCAAAATTTCAACTTACGCCTGTAAGAACAATGAAAATGGAAGCTTCAGTTTTTGAATAGGGTTACCCAGATTCAACCCATCAGTGTAGTGAAGAAATAACACATCCATGCTGATGGCCTTCATATATATGTGTGTATTCAGTTTACCAGCCACATGCAAGTTATATTCTGAATGATACATCATTTCCCCTTTGCATTAAATTGGAAGAACCTGGATCACGGACATCACATGAATGAGGAACGTGAGAGCCATCACGTCATTCCTTGGGGGACGTTTGCCTCGGCACGTAACCTGATGCTGATTGTTCCACAAAAACGCCCCCACCTCCATGGTAACTGGTCAAGAGCCACTTTTCGTGTAACCTGCGATAAGAACTTTTTATTCGTCAGTGAGAACCGGCAGCAACGCCCCCATATATGGACAGGAAGAAGCAGGTTCAAAGCCAGCATGTCCTCATAGAAAGGATAAATTATTTTTCCTTCACACTCCTGGTCATGATAACAGTCTATCCATCCAAAAAAAATAATAATTGCCAGAAGTAAATCAAACACCTTACTTATAATGGAATATTATAGTGTATCATATGGTTTTCCCGGGCTAAAATTAATAATTTTGAGCTGCCAAAATGTTCACTGTGCAGATATATATAGTGTATCATGCATCCTTTAAATAGTATATAACTTGAAATTATTTTTACATGATTCACTGCACTCAAGTTTGAAAGGAGAAAGCATCATATGCAGTAGAATTTCATTTAAAAAATTTAATACAAGAAATCATTGCTTTCAATGATTTTTTGGGGTTCCTGTCAATGTCAGCTGTTCATAGCAATATGCATTACTATTGAATTTCTTATTCATAGCACTTTTTTATGATGAATCTTTTTGAGTGATGACTTTGTTGTAGCAAGATTTTACTGTATAGCTGAATACAATATACAGATAGAAACTGGTTTTAGTTCAAATTAAGCAAGATTTTCATTCTATGAGCACTTTCTGTTGCATTATTATTCTGTTTTTAATTCAGTAATTTCTTTGAAAATTTATCAATTCAACACATGTACATATAATTTCAAGCATGGCATTCACAAGGGGAAAAAAACATTGTACAGTATATATATTTAATTTTTTATATTTTCTCTTTAATCTAATTTTCCTGAATGGTTTTGGTTGTTTTTTTAAAGGCTTGAAGAAACTATGTGGGAATTTATCAGCGAATAATATATTTCACATCCACATGAAAATCTTCAGTTTTTCCTTGTCTCCATTTTGATGTTGAACTTCAATCCAAAACAAGATTTTTAAACATGTACAGTATATTGAGCATATGCAAACAGAGTCAATCTACAAATGAAATTACTTTTCATGCAGCAAGATTGCCATTGATGAAAAATAATATGAATTTCTAAGGGGCAGAAGTTCATTCACTAAAATAGATTCAGAAAAGATAGTGTTTCAAATTATTATTCAGCACCCATTATTTGATACAAGGAACACCTTCATAATCCTTGCATGTTTCTTTGATGCAACTGACCACCCAACAGCAAACCAGTTTTTAGGATTAAAGCAATTCTGAGAAATTCCCCTTTCAGAATAAATTATGAAGGGGCATGCATCTTTAACTACTGTATTATATCAACATATATGAAGGCTTCCAATCCAATTTTTTAATTTGATGATACAAAAGATAACCCTGCCCCATCTTACATTGAAGTTATATAGAAGCAGAAATAACACACCTTCACATTTCATCTGCAGAATTTTCCAAAATTAAAAGACTCAAAATTGTTGAAAAAATTATTTGTGAAACACATTAATGAAAATATAAAGTAGAATATATTGTTACAGGGAATCTCAGTAAAAACTGAATTACAAATTATTGCTTACAACAGATTCATTATTTCAGATTCCTGTCCCATATACAGTATAGCCAAATTTACTTGAATTACTTTGTAAAAAAAATCTTATTGTGAAACAAAAAACGTTTTATCTTGGTCCCAAATGCTCCTCTGTAGAAATATTTCAAAATTCTGTCAATGTGAATTTCTCAGGCATAAATTTCAGCACATACTGTTAAATTAAGCTCAGTCAAGTAAACCTGTACAATATCAATCCACCTGCTTATCATGAATAACAATCAATAAATACAAAGTTCTGAGCCTTCAATTTTTTTTTCATAATTCAGAGAAGCAGTATTTCTAAACTTCAGTATTAAATCCTGGGGTCTCATCCAGATGAAAATCCACAGCGCGATTCTTGGGAATCAAGAATTAAAAATCAACTGGTGGCAAATCGATCCATCAAAGAATCCTAGGAATAAAACCCCACTCATCAGCCTCATATATGATGCAACATTCATTATTTGTCAAAAAATAAATAAAACAAAGAAAAAATAAAATCCTGACAAGATTTACAGGTGATAAAACTTTCCTATATTACATAGAACACACTTGAGCAAGCTTCAGCTGAATCACACCAGCCCATATAGGGACAAAAAAGGGAGACTTTAATTTACTACAGTGAAATAATGCCAAGATGAGGAATTAATTGGTGCATCAAGAGTGTCCTGATGTTGGAATGTCCCTAAGTTGAGTCTCACTTTCCCTTAGATTTAAATGCTAATGTAGTTAATTGGTTATCTTTTTAGTAAAATGAAATTACTAAGTGAAAAGGGAGACTATATAATTTACTACAGTGAAATAACACCAAGATGAGGAAATAATTGGGGCGGCATCAAGATTGTCCTGATGTTGGAATGTCCCTAAGTAGAGTCTCATTTTCCTTCAGATTTCAATGCTACTTTAGTTGATTGGTTATCTTTTTCAGTAAAATGAAATTACTTGTTAAAAAAGGGAGACTATATAATTTACTACAGTGAAATAATGCCAAGATGAGGAAATAATTGGTGCATCAAGAGTGTCCTCATGTTGGAATTTCCCTAAGTAGAGTCTCATTTTCCCTTAGATTTCAATGCTCATGTAGTTAATTGGTTCTCTTTTTATTAAAAAAAAATTAGGAATAAGTCCTCAAAAAAGGTAATAAAAATTGTTTATTTAAACTTCAAGTTGTATAAAAACAACAGCACAGAAAAAAATCAAAATCACATAGAATCTGATCTTTTGGTATCAAAGAGAGATCAAAAAGCAAAGAAAAAGAATATGTCTTGCCATAGAATATGCACAGATAAAAGGGAAAAAATATTAAAAAGCACAAGATCAGCTTGCTTTTTATTTCATGAATTAGAGTGAATTTATCATCCAATATTGTCTGTTCAATTTTAATGAATATAAATAGTTTGATTTCTTCAAGAGGTATCAAAAAATGAAAAGCTTCAATTTTTTGGGAAAATTTCAGAAAAGTGTCCCTAACTTGAGCCAATGTCCAGCAGATGTCAAACCTGATTTTTGTTGTTGTTCAAGTGTCCCTAAATCAAATTGTCCATATTTTGGGTTGTCCGCATGTCGGGGCCTCACTGTACCCTCAAGTTTCAGCTTTTTCTTTTTCTTCCATTTCTCATCTCTAATAAAATCGTGTCACGGCTTAAATAACCAAGAACACCAACGACGACGTCATGGAATGACCTGGAAGCGTTATTGCACCAGACCCAAACCTCATGCAATTTATTGGAAAGAGTAAAGAAGACAAGTAAACAATCTTGAACTTTTTTTTCGAAAATTATATACATACTCTATTCCAGTGTTCCTCAAACTCTTTGGTGTGTGGACCAGCAAATTTCCTTGAAATGTTTTGTGGACCAGCAAATCTCCAAACAATTTTATGCAGACCTGCAAAGTTTCATGACATTTTTGCATGCTAAAAAAAGAATTGCTTAAAAGACAGCTTAAATGGCAGGTACTGTATTTAAAAAGCTTATTCTGCTTTTCTTTTCAAAGATTAAGCCAAGAACCAATGAAGCATTTTATAGTGGAATGTCTTCACAAAAAAATGGTAAGGTGCGCTTGGAAGAAAGGTTTTTCAGACTCAAAAATTAAAATAATTTATTAAATCAGGTAGACATTTATATCAAGTATTATTTGTCTGGAATGCCAAGGTATACTTTCCATGAGAGGATTTTAAATGCCATTGTCTTGCCAACATTTAAGATAAATACACTGTAACATCCTTCATTGCTACTT